ACTAAACACTTTAGAAAGTTCTAATAATCTTACTGATAAAAAAATATTTACTCTAGCCATAGTTTCATTGTTTTGAATAGGCATTAGCTATTCAACACCTTCAATATGTAAAGACCTATTTGGTCTCAATGTGTGCTGATTGATTAGTTGTAATAGGCTACAATTAATTTAATTACTTTGTAACTAAATATTATTAATGTAATGACGATAAACTGATGTTTAATAAATGTCTGTTTGTGATTTAAAAAAAAATATTTAAGCAAAGACCTATGAATCTATAGTGCAATAGTTAATACTCTACAGGCCAGATTACAAGATACCAGTTCAATCCCAGGTAAAGATGGTTGAATAGAACCTATATAATATCTGGCATTATAACCTATTATGTGCTGTTTTTCATGTGAAGCCATTTCACACACTGATTTAGCAAATGTTAAGATTAAAATTTTCAGAAAAGATATTGTGGTGCAATAATCATCCAGAAAGTGGCACGATAATTATTGATTTAGTTAAAAACCCACTCATATATTTGAAAGTACAGACTGGGATATACTTCGTTTTAATCAATCCAGAATTACTGATCCTTTTATTAGCTATCAAATAAGAATATCTTGAAGAAAATTACTGAACTGATATATGCTTATATGCAGATATGGCAGCCATATAGTAAGACAGAATATGTAGAAGTTGTGCTCTGTTGGTATTATTACTCCTAGATTTGGCAGCATATGCCAACCGGTCTGAATCTGAAATGTCTACTAGAAGATTAAAGAGCATTGGTTTGTTGCTGATCATTTGGTATGACCTGTTAGCACTGGTGGCAATATTGGTAAAGACAGACTAGACCCTTAAGGAGTTATACTCCATTTGGCCATATGGCCCCTAGATTTGGTATGTCCAACCAGTGGTCAAAACCAAAGCATTTACTAAAGAGTATATACTTGCATCAAAGATCCTCTCATAGCATGGTATTGTGAGTAAAAAGATAGAATATGATAGGTAACTTATAAAATAGCTAGTGATACCTACTCCAATTATAATGCACACCAAAATTGGATTGATAGGTTAGGTGGTTTAAAACTAATAGTAAAATTTTCATCTTTTAGACAAATCTCTCCAAAAATATAGAAAATACTTCAAGAGTGCAGAGGATATTGCTAGGTATAACAGTAGATAGGCTAGCATTTAGCTGTAGTTGTATAGAGGATATTTGATGTACCAATTGTAATATTCCTAAATTAATATTTAATAAAATTCATATCTAATGTTATTCTACTATAAAAAAAATAAATAAATATTTATACAATAGATCTGTGGATTTATAGCACTATAATTAAGGCTTCACAAATTAGATTACAAGATATCAATTCAACTTTATGTAAAAACAGTTAAATAGAATCAATATGATATTTGATGCCATAATCTAATAAGTATTGTTTTATATAAAAAGCTTATTTATATGCTAATTTAGTATACATTAAAGTTTTGATTTTCAAAGAAAGCTATGTGACACAATAATTGTCTAGTTAATATTATAATAATTATTAAAAAACAAGTATGCAATATATTTGAATTTATAAATTAAACTGTACTTTATTTTAACTAATTTTAATTGACACTTATTTCATAATAGTTGAAACCTTAATCTAGACTATTTCAATCTAGTACAGAGCTTAAAATAGTAATACCTGTCATAAATAGTAAGAAAGATAATAGTTATAAATCCAAAAAGAACATATATTAAGATCTAAAATTCAAGCAATAATATGAAAAAAAGTACTTGGACTAACTTTCTTAAGTATTATTTTTTTTCTTTTAAGCTGAATCTAGAATAGGTTAGATAGTTTAAAACTGATAATAGAATTTTTTTCTTTTATAGATCTGCTTTTAGAATTAAGTAGAAAATTATTAACTGATAAAAATCAAAGTATTGAGAAGATAATGAATAAAAAATAATTTATAGGAAAAACTTATACAAGTTCTAGAATATAATACAAATATTATTTATATATAATATAGTTTTTGTTTATTATACTTAATATTTTAAAAAAAATAAAAATAAAAATAAATTATTTTTTAATTTTTACTTTACAAACATTCATAATATAATACAAACTCTTCAAATTTTTTAAATTTTTTTAAATTTATATTATCTATATAAAAAATATAGTCAATCAAATTCTAACTATTACAAATTGATATAATTTATTCTATATTTATTAATATAAACAAAAATCTTATTTTCTTAATAATATATTATTTTAAACTAGAGCTTTGAAAAAGTACCGAACTAGTATCGAACTGGTATCAAAATAGTACCGATCTATAGTAAATTTAATATATAAGTTGTGATCTACTCATATGTTTTTATAGTAAATTTAAGTATCGAAATAATATCGAAGTGGTATCGAAGTGATATTGTTAGGAGTCCTATTTTAAACAAATAAACAAAACCATTTGTTAAATAAAAATAATTTACTTCCAATATATACCAAAAAATATTTAAACCAGATCTTTTACTTCTAACCAATACTTTAACTTTTCTTAAAAATATATTAATTTCAAATATTTAATATTAATCAAAAATATTTAATTTTCATTTCAAAATTCATTTCAATATATTTTTAACTAAATTTTTCTTTATATTATATTATTAACAATGTTGAAAAAATTGTGCTCTATTAATAATTGTTATATTTTTTTAATTATATTTTTTTAATGACTGGCATACACCTTGCTTTATTAAGTGTGATAGGATTAACATGTACAAACTTGTTTTATACAAATTTCCTACTATATCAACTAGATAATACTACCTAAGTTAATATTAATCTTAACTACCAGTTGGCTTATTGCTTACCATTCTTCCTATATTATTAATACTGTGGCTCTGATAGTATAGGTAGAGTGCTAATGTATCAGAATATGTGCCTTCCAGTTGCATCTATTATCTAATAGATAGAAACTTAAAGAACTATATCCTAATATAATCAGCTGTGAACTAGTCATATCCAATAAGAAGTCTTTGTGGCTCTAGCTTAATCTCTTGAAAATTTGGTTTTTCTTTTATAATCTCGTGGACTAATAGGAAAAGGAAGTATGCTCCATGCATGAGAAATAGAAGAAAGCACCAAACTTGACAATCATCATTATAGCACTGCTGAATGATAATCATATCGCTACACCTTTCTTGGTATCACAATCTTAACATCCATTGGATTAACATGTAAATTGGCTTCTTATAGAAAACAGCACATGTTAGGTTATGACACCAGATATTATATTGAAATGGTTCAATTGCCTTTACCCAAAACTGAACTTGATATCTTGTGATAGTAATTAAAAGATGCTAATCCTTCCTTCTGGTTTAAGAATCCACATTAACCTCCTGGAGGATTTGAACCATTATCTTGTGATCTGACCTGTGAAGCACTAATCACTGTACTATAGACTTACAGGTCTTGAATTTTTTTATAGAAAAAATATTCAGATATTAAGAAGAAAATTATTGAATAAATTAGACTAAAAATTAATATCTTATTATATTATTGATATTGTAACTAAATATTTTATTTATTGAATTAATATATCGGATGGCTTTATATAAGAAACCATATTTGTTCAGTTATGATATCAGATATTTTATTAAATTTGTTTAATTACTTTTACTTGGAATTAAACTTGATATCTTATAAAATGAAATTTGAAATTCCAATTGCTGTATTATTGATTTACAGATTGGTGACCAACAAAAGTTCTTTTCAATTATTAAAATTACTTTTTATATTATAAAATAACTCTTTCAAAATATAATACTCTAGTACTTATTCATAAATTTAAAAAATAATTCAAGATAATATAGGAAAAAACAATAAACAAGTATAGATTTAAGTTTGAAAATGTCAAAACTTTTTTTATTTAATCAATATACAAAAACTCAAATTGGTATTACCATAATATCTATGTTAAAGAACATTATAAACAAGGCATTGTTTATAATTAATAAAGGAAAACTTTATTAAATTAAGGAGAAATCTGATAACTTTGTCATTTTTCAAAGGAAAAAAAATCTTTCTTATATAGATGATTCTCTTATATAAATAAATAAAGCAATAGCATATGATTGAATATAATACATATAATCTTATTAATCTTCCAGAGATTATATACATACAGTATCATAAAAGATAAAATAATACAGTAAAAACAAATAATAAACATTAAATAATTTCAAATTTGAAATTTCAATAACAATATCAAATCGTTATAACATATATATCAAATAACACAATGACATAATTTTTAACTTATAAAATTTTAAAATTCACTAAAAATTTAATTATCATCAAATAGGGCTTAAAACAAATTTTTATTAAAATAAATAAACAATAATAACAAAAAAGACATATACAGTATACAGTATTATGAAAATTTACGAGTTTTATTTTGTCGCATCATATATTTAATGGAACCTTGGATTCAATTAATAAACATCAACAAACTCGCTTAGTGTAGACATTATTGACATTTTTTCCGTTTACTCATCGTAAATATACTGTTCAAATTTTTTAATTCACGAACAAGGCTTTCCGGAAATTACGGTGCTTTCGGTGAACCGATGCCCAGAATGCGTACAACCGATGCATGGTCAGTCTAAAATTGAATTTTAATTTATATTACAACATTCACACAACGTGAATATTCTTGCTAGTATAAAAAATTACACTAGGTGTTACAGAAATTTCGAAAGTGTTACCTAGAGTCTTTGTAATGAAAATGATTATATAAATAATGTTTCAGTTAATATTTGACCTGCATGAAAAAATGAGATCATGTGATAATTGCTTATTTACAAATTCGGACCAAAGTTCCGACTGTCAAGGTATAAAAACGCGACGTCACTGTGTAAAGCATGAAAATCAGGCTATACTTGATAATAATTTTGATTTTATTTTAAAACATCACCACTTTACCTTCATTAACTACTTCAACATAACACGATGCAACAAAACAACCCATTCTACGGTATAGACATGGAGACGTTGGTCACTCTTGCAAATCTTTTGCAGATTCCCGAAGAACAAAAACGTCCAGAAGTTCGCTTTGCCGAAATAATGAATATTCGAGAGTACATTGACAAGTCTTGTTTTGGAAACGTATTGCCCTACAACAAACAGACGCATCGCATGTTAAATTTAGAAGACAAGAAACTCGAATGGTCTTCACTCACAGATACAAAAGATATAGATAATCTCATTCAAACGTTAGATAATTCAACTGAAAATAACACGACTGGCATGACTTCCGGAGAATCGCAGAATTATCCAGTAGGAGTGGTAATTCAATTGGTGACAAGATTATTGGCCTATTCAATACAATACCGAAAATGCCTCTCAACTGTACCTACAAAGCGTCTTACCTGTGCCCTTTATGCCATTTCGGATTACAGAAATGCCATGATAGATCTTTCAAATCCTTTTACAACATTGCAATGGAATACTTTAATTTTTGATTTCTTAGGGAAAACCCAAAATTTGTTAAAATTACCATTTAATCCGTACGTAAAATAAATTCTTGTTGCCTGCCATTTGCTAAAATGCAAACGACTAAATGCCTTATTTTAAATACAGGTATAGCAATCCAACAGAAGATGCAAAATCGTATGTACTGTACTTAAATTTACATTATGTAGCTACTCACGTACCATAACTATTACTGTATCTAATCTTCACTGTGTCACTTTATATGTATAGAATGATTACTGGGATATCTCCATTTTTAGTCACTGGTGGTGCAATCAATCCTTTAGATGTTAATGTTAGTTTTGTCGAAAATCTTTATCGTCAAACAGCCGGTCAATACGGAACATTTGAAAAAACTGCTCATGTTGCCTCGTATATGTGGAAGTTTGGATTTAAGGAATACGTAACCCATAAAATTCCCATGAAACGAGTCATTAATGGGGCGTATACATGTTATGTGGACCCGTTAAACAAGACGTACTATTATACTACACTGGTTCTCGATCCATTTTGCATTAAGGTGCTAAAGAATCTTCTTATTTATGAAATCATTTCTGGAAAAGCGGCCTACATTCACAGCGCGTTATACTTTATAATGAGTATGTGTACATGCGAAGAGGATTTCCAATTAATGATTGATTATGGTGTTATAGAGTGGGGCTTCCCAATGGAAGGGTACGACGGTTTTTGCGAAAAGATGAAAGAACTATTAGACGTAATGTATTGCTGGAAAATTTCGACTACCTACACGTGGCATCTGGAAATGGTCCAGATCGTAAAGTATAAAAGAAAAATGAATAACACTTCAAATTTTAACGAGTTTGCAGCATCATGTTATGTCGGAGGGTTATTAAAAAAGGACTTGGCCGCTACTCTATACAGTAGCCTTAGTTAAGAACGAATTACATGTTTACTGCGAGCTCATATTCAAACAGAAAGCCTTGTTTTATTAACTACAATTTGTTATACAATATCTAATACTGTATTGCATACATAAATGAATATCATCTACAGTATATGTACAGTTACGTATCATCAATTTGCATCTTGCAAATGAATCATTATTTTTGCGTTTATCATACTACTGTATGAATATATTCGATAATTTGATAATAAATGTAACAATTATAATTATCACTTTAAATGCCCGCAAGATTAACTTTGAGAATTCAAAATTTTGATAGAGAAAAAAAAAGATGCGTGAGATGTCAATGCCATATAAATCTCTTGCATTCACTTTCAAGAAAACATTATTTTATGTTATATTGTATACAAATGATTTAATACTTTAAGCACAAGTATATGAAATAGTATTAAAAATACGGAAACAATGAATTTGATGCGTAAAGTAAATTAAGACAAAAATACAAACAACTACGTCATCATTTATTTTATGTGTATTGCTTTTTTAAAGGACTAGGCGATGTATAGTGGATAACAATGTTTATTTAAGTGTGCAAAAGATATATATGCGATTGCCGCTAATATCGCTAATATGTGGGATAAAAATGATGCGAAGCTGGCAATATATCATATAATTTTAAAAAAAATGCTATGTTATTGTATCTAAATATTTGAAAAAAATGTTTAAAGAATAAACCTAATTTACTAAATATGCAGTATAATGTTATACCATTTTTATGTGAAAAGAAAACTCGTTTAAATAAGGCTACTGTATAAAGTGGCGGACACTTCTTTTTTCAATAAGCCTCCGGCGGCGTAACACGATACCGCAAAATCAGTAAAATTAGTAGTGTCATTTGTTTTAACTTTCCACTTTACGATCTGAATCATGTCCAAGTGCCATGTATAAGTGTTTGAGAGTTTCCAACAATACATAATGTCTAATAATTCCTTCATTTTTTCGCAAAAACATTTATATCCTTCCGCCGGGAAATCCCACTTGATGACACCATATTCAACCATTAACTGGAAATCTTCTTCGCATGTACACATACTCATTATAAAGTATAATGCGCTGTGGATATAAGCGGCCTTTCCAGAGACAATCTCGTATATAAGGAGGTTCTTTAGTACACTTAGGCGAAATGGATCAAGAATTAAGGTGGTATAATAATATGTCTTGGTAAGAGGATCCACACAGCAGGTGGATGCGCCGTTGATTACTCGTTTCATAGGGATTTTATGGGTTACATATTCCTTGAATCCGAACCTCCGCATATATGAAGCAATATGAGGAGATTTGTCAAAATCTTTTGTATCCAATCCAACGGCCTGGCGGTAAAGATTTTCGAGGAAACTAACATTTGTGTCTAAAGGAACTATTCTGCCAAACGTAATTGCAAACGGAGAAATTCCGGAAACCATTCTAGAATATAATAATAACGTTAAAGTTTTAATAAGAATCATTTATCGTGTAAAAAAATCAATAATACATACTTTTCAATATCTCCTGAGGGATCGCTGTATCTGTTTTGATATTTAGAGCAATGTTATTATTTCGTGCTGAAAAAATTAAGAGGAAATCAATTCTAATTTACTTACGGATTAATCGGTAGCTTTAACAAGTTTTGGGCTTTGTTTAAAAATTCGGAAATGAGGACGTTCCACTTTACTGTTGTAAAGGGGTTTGAGAGATCTAACAAAGCACTCCTATAATCCGAAAAGGCAGAAAGAGCCGAAGTGAGGCGCTCAGTAGGTACAGTAGAGAGACACTTCCGATACTGCACTGAATATGCCAGTAATCTTATGACCATCTGAATTACTGTTCCTACTACGTAATTCTGTGGCTCTTCCGAGGTATTACTAATTACATTGTTGCTAGTAGTGTGATCGTTCAATATTTTTACAAGGTTATCTACATCCTCTAAATTGGTAAGTGAAGACCACTCAAGTTTTTTATTATCTAAACCCAACATACGTTTTGCCTCTTCGTTGAATGGCAGTATGTTCCCACGACAAGATTTATTGATGTAATCTTGAATGTTCATTATTTCTGCAAAGCGAACCTCTGGACATTTTTGTTCGTCAACGGGCTGCTGCAAAAGGCTCGCCAAACTTGCTAAAGTGTTAATGTCAAGATTGAAGGGAAGATTCAAGTTGTTCAAGTTATTATTTTGCGACATTATGTTAGTATGTTTAAAGTAAAGTGGATTGTAGAGTTTTAGAAAACGAAATCAATACGTTTTAAACTTAATAACTGACTACGCGTCGTTTTAAACATTTATTTGTATTTTATTATAAAGGTCGGAATTTTCATCCGAATCCGATGTGCAATCATCACATGACCATAATTAGGTGTCACATTTTAATATGCATGTTAAATATTGTGTGAAACGAATTTCATTATAAAGGATATTGGACAAAAAAGAAAGAAAAAGTGAACGGTGAAATGTTATTCAGGATAATGTTACCTTGTCCATGCACTGCATACAATGATTCAGTAGTTTTAATAAATTGATCCACTAATCCTTATCCAAAAAAGGCACGACAACAAAGAGAATTACTGCGCATTTGGTTGAGAAAAAGCGTAATACAGTACAATATTTATTATACGATTTTAAATTATTGTGTTCGTGTTAATTGAAAGATACATATCCAAAGTAGTAATCGTGATTATTATTTAATGACTTCGTGAAACAATGGAAATAAGGTACGTATACAAAGAAATTTGTGATCTTTATATGTGCACAGTAATGCAAATTACTGTACGCGCTTTAATGTGCATACTTCATTTATATTGTAACACATCGATTTGATCATATGCCACTCAATAATGCCAGAACCTTCTTTTCGAGATGACCTGACAATTGGCAATGATTCATTGAATTCCCTACATCAATGTATTTTCATAATGATTTCTTCAAAAAAATACAGTATATCTCACAAAAATTTTATTATTTAACTTAAAAGGTTTTTTTTTATTGGTGCATAGAATTTCTAATAATTAAGTTACGCCCGCTTTTGATCATGAGATGAATACGAATATTTTTTTATACGAACCAACGTGATTTTCGATTCATCAAGCTTATTTACCAACAAATAAATTGCAAAGTGCGCGTAACTTAAATTAATGTCAACAGAATACTATAAATGAACCAATGCCCACTTTTCTTTTCAGAAAGTTCTCTATTTCACAATGGAGACAATATCATAAAAATTGCTTTTGAATACAACTTACAGAACCCGTGGTTGAAATACATAGTGATGTAGCATATTGCAAATGGTATGGGAAGACGGAACAAAGTAAACAAGCTATTATGTGAAGACACCCGTAAATTGACGTAATACACAAAATAAAGAAAATAATAGAACATTTATTATTATTGTGAAACTGTAAGGGGTAATATTAATTACTAAATAAAGTTGAACTCGTTTATCAGCCAGAAAACTGCAAGGGGTATTGACCATCTTCATTCGTCTATGCATTTGTTTTTCCTGTCCTACCTAAACAAATCATTCAATCATACAGTACCGCAGTTCTTTCTAGACCCTTCTAAATCATTCTTCGACAAGGACCTTAGCAATTATCGGGTACAGTACTGTAATAGCAAGATCGATATTAAAAATCACAACATAAATTATTAATTGTAATTAATATAATATTACCCTTTATTCGGACATTTAAATTATTACTTTAATTTAATTTACATCAATTTATTTTATAAAGTTGTACAGTACATATTTTGCTGTAATTTAAATTCTATTACAATAGAAGATGATACCTGATGGAAAAAATAATTGTCTAAAATATTTTTAAATAAAAAAATTAATTTATAAGATGTTTGCAAATGTTTCTATAATTTTTTGTATGTCGCTTAATTCAAGTGCTCCCAACGTTGGTGAAAAAAAAAACATTGAATTACTTTTTACATTGTGCTTAATAATAATAATAATCAAGCTGGAAAGGAATTATTTAAAGTAACAAAAAATCTAACTTAGTTTGCTGCGTATATTCAAAAAATACAATCAGTGAAGCAGTAATGTTTATTTCATGATAACGCAATTAAATAGATAAAAAAAAAACACAATATTAAAAAATACTACAATAGGTTTTGTATTATTTATAATTAAATAAAAAATGTGATTAACATTTAAAATAAAAAATTTTTAATTAATCATATGATTTTTTCAACTATCTGTAAGAAAGAAGAAACAATTAAAAGGTCGTGATAAAAATTTATAGCAAAATTGTCAAAAAAAAAATCTACCAATTTGATTAATGGTATACAATGATTTGTAAGCATTAATATAAGAAAAATAATAAACTTTTTATTCATAACTTTATCTATAAATAAAATTAAAAATTTCAAATGCATTTTTAAACGATAAAAGTAGCTATTTGTGAATAGCAATATAAAGAAATTATGATGAATATAATAATACTTACTTCTAATATAAAAAATATGGAGAGTACATACTGTAGATAGTTCTCATCTCATAATTACGTCATCAAAAATGCTTTCTGCTATACCTTGTACTATTCTTTATTTCCTGTGCATTTGGCTCCTTAAAGGTACCATTTTGTTTTCTTGCTTGGCCAAAGACACCGGAATCTCAAGTTCGCTGACTGTTTCCATAATCTCTAACCCTCGCACTGATAAAATTACTAATTAACTTCTTATTTATTTAGAGCCTCCAAAATCTCGTAGATTATAAATTTACTAAAACATATTATATATGTTAACTTCATCACCTTTCATTTTTATCTAGTGCTGTTTCTTCAATCAGACTAAATCCCATTCGCTTCAAAGCTTTACTACAGCACGTCGCGTTAAATCGCGTCAATTCGCGTTGAATCACGTTAATTTGCGTTAATTTGCATGTGCATTCTATTCAAAGGTCATGAATAACACTATCCAATAATTCTGAAATATTAAGAAAAAACATAGATGCAATACATTGAGGTGAATATTGAAGCCTTTGTGTAAAGCAAAGCACCTGTAAAAAATTTTTTCTTTTTCTTGTTCTTATTTTTTTAAAAAAAATCTATCGGATAAATTACCAAGAAGGTCAATTATTAATGATTCTTAATTCTCATTATAATCGGAAAATTAGGATCAATTCCTAAAAATATATATTGTGTTGTTAACAATCTGATCTATTATTTTCATTGTCAGATTGAATGGAAAAATAATTTTTTTTTGATCGTTTGATCCATTGAAAATTGGTTGGATAATAATTGAGCTAAATTGGTTTGTTTTATATCCGAATACATCTTCACACGGTATCAAAAAAATCACCGTTTGGAACTATAACGGAACTTACGTCAGAAGTTGCAATACATGTCCAAGTTTCTGTCTTTTAGGTATTAATTCTTCTACTTCAGAAGAACTTGATTCTATACCCATTTGAGGGCTTCTTTGATTCGTCAATTTGTTCAACTTGTCTTCCGCTAATGTAAGATTTTGTCGTAACAATGCCACAGATTGATCCATAGAAAGAGTAATCCTCATTATAATTTTTCCTTTGATCCAAAAAAAACGCCAATCATCTACCAGATTGGTCAACACAGCCAAGACTGTATATGTTGATTTTAAATCTGCGGAAATCAGCTCTGCCATGATTTGAAATGTATGTTTCTTAATGATAGCCTTCTTTACCTTAAAGAGAACTCGGATATGCTTCTCTTGAGCCTGACTAGTGATAGAATGCCTGTCAACTATAACCAAGTCTGCTGTTCCGGAAAGATTTATAGGTAAGAAATCGGTATTTGTACTAAGGAAACTGCCATCACCAGTTGAATCATAGAGTCCGAGTCTTAGAAATCTGCCAAGTTTAAGTATATTTGTGAGGTAAAATTTGTACCTTTCCTTTTGTGAGTTTTCTATGGCATCAGTCCATCTGAAAGTCTCGATACTTTCATAACCTAGATCTAAATAGAGATTTGGAAATTCTATTTCAAATGAGGTCGATTGGTAATCAAGACCAGTATGGTATTGAATTTTCATCCAATTTCTTTCAGTTACGGCTGATATCTGTACCGAAGGTTTTTTTCTTTTTATTTCTTCAATATTCTTATCAATCTTATCAAGTCTGGTAATAAATTTATTATCATTTCTCCTAGCTAGAATGTAAAGTAATTGGTTAAAAAGACAAGAGTATGTTATAAATGCTTGTTGTTTATTCATTGCAGTTTTATTATTCAACCTGGCGATGAAAATGATATTGTCCATAATAAGATTATTCCATCTACTTACTATCGACGGCAGACACGTCGACAATGACGTGAATATGTTTTTTGGTGGGCGCGGGAAATTTTTCTTCCATTGTATCCATGGGACTCAACATTTGACCACCCAAATCATTCACAATATTGTAATTTGGATTGTTGAGAGTGGTTCGTTGGGGGCTTTGCGTAGTAGTATTAATATCAACTTTATATAAGGTAAGGTCTTTTACCGAAACATCATCTAAAAGAGGATACAGTCTATTCTTAATGACATCTTTGAGTTCGTCAACGGTCATAATCTTATCATATTTAATTCCAAATGCAGAACTTTCAGGATCACCATGAACTAGACAGAAAAGTAGTGCTTTTTTTGGTGGCATTGTGATGAAAAAAAAACGCCTCAAGAAAAGGATATTTTGCATATGCTGCGGATCGTGAGATATAAATCACTCAATTGATCGTGACTTCACGTCACATCTACGTATTAAAAGAGTGATTAAAAAAATTTTTTTTTAAAAATTTAGTAATTTACTGATGCCAAATTATACGTAATTTAATAAGATTTATACCAAGAGAAATTTTTATTTATCTCCAAAAATTATCAATATTCTTAAATATTTTTAGTAAAATACGTGAACCCAATATAAATATTATTTATTATTTGAAAAAATTAAAAATGATTTAAAAATTTCACTCACTTCTAGTATTAATTTGTTTTTAAAAATTTTAAATTAATTATTTAATTTTTTTTTTTTTTTTAGTTTTAAAACTTTTTTAAAAACACAAATTTTTTATTCGCATTTTTTAATAAATTTTGTTTCATTTATTTTAATTTGATTTAAAATTTTTTATAATCACAAACACTTATATACCATACATACGTATCATTTATAAATTACCTGATTTATTATTTTATAAGTGGAATCGTTAATTATTTAATATATAATTATAATATATTTTTTTAAAAAAATTTTTTTCTTGATTTAATTAATGAATTATTTTTTTAAGAAACAGGTATAATAAATGTATAAAAATTATAAAAATTATATTTATTTTATTTTATTTTTAAATTCCTTTTGCGTTTGATTTTTTTTTTTAAAAAAAATTATTTATTGATCAGGTAATTTTTTAAGCATTTTTATAAATATCATATATTAAATTAATTTTATTACATATTACCTTTTATTTTTAAAATTATTTTAAAATTGGATCTTACTAAATTTGCATATTTGAATTACTTTCAAAAAAATATATCTTGCTACAAATATAAAATTATAATATTTAGAATCAAAAAACATTATTTGATCGCGTAATTTTTAAATTTGATATGGTATTCAACATTAAGATTTTGTTTTGAAAAATTATTTTTTTAATTTTTGCCATTTTTATTTTGTGATGAATAAATAAAACTTATTTTAAAAACCATATTAGTTGATATACATTTTATATGTCAAGCATACCTTTTGGAAATATACAAATTAAAATTAAAGGTTATCAAATGATTTTTAATAAATCATATAAATCTTTTCGAACATGGAAAATATTTTGATAACTTCAATATGCTTGTTTTTGAACAATATGGACTGTATTGATTATACTTTTTTTAAAAAAATATATATTTTTTTTCATGATTGTGACGAATAATCTGGTTCATTCAACATAAAATTTATTGTAATGCAAATTTCAAATATATGTGGAAATTATATAAACAATTAGAAAAAGGTTTGTTAAATAGAAGAACATTTGAAAATCATGCTATTGCGGTAGTTATAAGACAGGGTATTAAATTGTGCAGAAGAATTCATTTAGTCAATATTGCTATATAAAGTGGCAGATACTTCTTTCTTTAACAACCCTCCGGTATAACAGGATACCGCGAAGTCACTGAAATCAGTAGCATCGTTTGTTTTAACCTTCCATTTTGTGATTTGCACCATGTCTAAGTGCCACGTATAAGTATTTGTGAGTTTCCAACAATACATTATGTCTAACAATTCTTTCATCTTTTTACAGAAACCGACATATCCTTCTAGAGGGAAGTGCCAATCAATAACTCCATATTCGATCATTAATTGGAAATCCTCCTCGCATGTACACATACTCATGAGAAAGTACAAAGCACTGTGAATATAAGCTGCTTTTCCAGAGGTGATTTCATATATAAGAAGGTTCTTTAACACCTTAAAGCGAAATGGATCAAGAATTAGGGTGGAATAATAATATGTCTTGGTCATAGGATCCACGTAACAAGTGGATGCGCCATTAATAACAAGTTTCATCGGAATCTTGTGGGTTACATATTCCTTAAATCCAAACTTCAACATATCCGAAGCAATGTGAAAACATTTGTCAAATCCTTGTTTTTCTTGCCCAACTGCTTGGCGATAAAGGTTTTCAATGAAACTAACGGTGGTATCTATAGGAATTATTCTACCACAGGTAATTACGAACGGAGAGATGCCGGATACCATTCTGAAACAATGTAATATTAAAATATTTTAAATGAATCCTTTAACAACATACATATAAAATTAATGATTTAACATACTTTTCAGCATCCCCCGTTGGATCACTATATCTGTTTAAGTAATTAAAATTAGTGTCAATTTGCTTTCCAACAATAATGAATTATAGATTAAAAAATACATACGGATTGAATGGCAACTTTAACAGAGCCTGAGCCTTATTTAGGAAATCAGAAATGAGAACGTTCCACTGTAGTGTTGTAAAAGGATTTGAAAGGTCTAACATGGCACTTCTGTAATCCGTGAAGGCGGAAAGAGCAGAGGTAAGGCGCTTAGAAGGTACAGTGGAGAGACATTTCCGATACTGCACTGAATATGCTAATAATCTTATGACCATCTGAATTACTGTTCCTATAACATAGCCCCGTTGTTCTCCTGAAGCATTACCGATCGTGTTGTTACCAGCGGTTGGATTGTTTAATGTTTCAAGAAGATTATCTACTTCTTCAACATTTGTAAGCGAAGACCATTCAAGTTTCTTATTTTCTAAACCTAAAATACGTAAGGTCTCTTTATTGTAGGGTAATATGTTTCCACCACAAGACTTGTCTATGTAATCCTGAATATTGATTATTTCGGCAAAGCGAACCTCTGGATGTTTTTGCTCTTCAGTGGTCTGCAAGAGACTCGCAAGACTATCAGCTAAAGCGTTAATATCTACATCAGAGGGAATATTATTTTTATTTTCTTGAGACATTTTGCAATCAGGTTAAAGACAACAGTGAAAATTTAGAATTTTTAAAGACGGAACAAATATTCTCGGAACTTTATCTAACATACTGCGCATATTTTTTAATTTGGGTCGGAATTTCGGTCCGATCAATAATCTACTGATTAGCACGTGATTTATTATGCATATTTATTTGCGTTTTTACCACACAAAGAAAAAATAAGAGTATTTCGCGAGTGTACAGTGGGACGTTATACATATTAATATTAAAGGCACAGCATATAATGACTACTAAACTATAAGACGTGTTCTTTGTATATCTAATCCCAAAGGAACATTCTTTGTATGTATAATATCAAAGGTATCAAAGGCACGTTTTTTGTATGTTTGTGTTTAATTAATTCTATAGAATAAAGTCTCATATATTTAAAATAAAAAAATATTCAAAATACATAAATATACGTTTTTGATTCATCACAGTTGTTTGTAGTGACTATAACAAATGTACCCATATATTAATAATTTATTTTAAAAAAAAAATCTTTTTTTAAAATCAAGACAGTAAATAAAATTTTTATTTGAAAAACCCAAAAGAAAGGCTTCTAAATAAAAAAATAAAAATGATATCAATTACAGTATATTTTTATATTAAAGAGTTTTTATAATAATTACTAAGATAATTTTAAGCTTTTATTTTCAGAAAACGTTTTTGCGGACTTGGCACTGACCATCATTGTGGGGTACAATTGCCCGTGACCGCAGCTAATTTTGTCTGTAACGATGACGTAAAAAAATTCTCGTAATTGGATATTTCATATATGTACTACAGTACAGTATAATTTTAAAACGCATATCTCTCTGAGTGAAAAATAACGAACTTGCAAGTATAAAGAACTCCGAAACAACGTATGATTATGTTTAGCGGTAAACAACACCCTCTTAGTCAAACATTGACGCCTGTCTTTTATTTGCCTATTATAGAAAATTTGTATGACATTGTGTTTATTAAAGTTGACCATAAAGAACGATCCATTTAATTTATTTATATGTAGAATGTTCCGGAAAATTCAAAATTATTTATTCTGGATACTTTAATTCAGGTTTCATGTATGATTATGCTAGTAAGTGAGACACAATTAACATCACATGATAATTAACAAATGATCGATTTGCTTTACAAAATATAAATTCACTAAACAAAATTTGGGTCTTTTAAAAACAATCTTTCTTATTTTCAATATTTCTAATCTGCTTAGATCAAACATGGCACCAAACACCCCACTTGATATTCTCCAAAACATCGACGCCAACACTCTAGCTAGTCTTGTGAGTCTCTTGCAACCTGTTGAAGAACAAGAATGCCCGGAAGTTCGCTTTGCCGAAATCATGAATATCCAGGAATACATCGACAAGTCTTGCTTTGGAAACATATTACCTTACAATAAAGAGACGCGGCGCATCTTGAACCTGAAAGATAAGGAGCTCAAATGGTCTTCGCTCACAAATGTGGAGGATGTAGATAAACTCATTCAAATATTAGACAATCCGAGTGCTGAAGATGATACGGCTACCAGTACTTCGGAAGAATCACAAGGTTATGCAGTGGGAGTAGTAATTCAATTGGTCATAAGGTTATTGGCATATTCACTTCAGTATCGGAGATGTCTATCCACTGTACCTGCCGGGCGCCTTACCTCAGCTCTTAATTCTATCTCGGATTACCGAAGTGCCATGTTAGACCTTTCAAACCCTTTCACGACTATACAGTGGAACGTTCTGATTTCTGATTTCTTAAATAAAGCTCAAAGCTTGTTGAAATTGCCATTTAATCCGTAAGTAGCTGTGATTTGTTGTTCTTTATTCGCCAAATATTATTTACCTTTTTTTTCTCTTAAATGAAATATAGATTTAGCGACGCGACAAATGATGCACAATTGTATGTAACATTTACTTTTAAATCATTCATATACTATAATTCATATCTAAATTTCCTCTTTGATATTATAGCATGGTCTCCGGAATCTCTCCGTTCGCAATTACTGGTGGCACGATACTTCCTTTAGACACTAACGTCAGCTTCCTTGAAAATCTTTATCGTCAAGCGGCCGGACAAAACAAATCATTTGAAAAATGTGCTCACGTTGCTTCTTTTATGTGGAAATTTGGATTTAAAGAATATGTGACCCACAAAATTCCTATGAAACGAGTTATTAATGGGGCATATATCTGCTGCGTAGATCCTTTATACAAAACTTACTATTATACCACCCTAATTCTAAATCCATTTCATTTTAAGGTTCTAAAAAACCTTCTTATTTATGAAATTGTCTCTGGAAAAGCAGCATATATCCACAGCGCATTATACTTTATAATGAGTATGTGCACATGTGAGGAGGATTTCAAATTAATGAACGAGTATGGTATCATAGAGTGGGGCTTCCCGATGGAAGGATATGCCGGATTTTGCGAAAAGATGAAAGAACTGTTAGACATAATGTATTGCTGGAAACTTTCGAATACTTACACATGGCATCTGGAAATGATTAAGATTGTAAAATGGAAGATTAAAATGAATGACACTTCTAGTTTCAGTGATTTTGCGGCATCGTGTTATGCCCAAGGCGTATTGAAGAAAGATGTATCCGCTACTTTGTACAGTAGTCTCAGTCAATGAGAAATCCTTTAGAATGCCTTATATTCATATTTATATTCTATGATCGGATATCTGATTTTCATCAACTGCGGTCTATAATTCACTTTGAGAACATTCTTTCAATGTTTTATCTAAGTTTGGAAATTTATCATAATTTTTCTTTTAGGTGGTTATATAATTTTCCCTGGTCAACATTTAGGTACTACAATGGTTAGTGGTTTTAACAAAACGGTAGTTTCCGTGACATTGGCATTTGATAAATACATTAATTGTTTAGTGATAGCATTTAAGCAAATTATTGTATACTGTATATATTATAACAATTACTATTATAAAGTATGAGTTCTAGAATTTTACAGTATTGCGTCACAGTTTTTTTTTTTTTTGTTTTTTTTACAACAGTGATAAAATAATCGTTGGTTCTCCTTTAATCGATTCTTTAAATACATAAAATATATGTTCGATATTTTTTTAAATTAATTAAAAAAATAAAAACTATTTGAGAATTGAGTGCTCGACTGAATAAATATGATTGCCGTTCAAGGTATCCTTGATCAAATGGATAACATTGGTTGCTCGCTCTCCTAAAAACTTTTTCGCACAATTTGCAAATATAATTTAAATCACGAATTTCTTAAGATCTCTTAATTACATTGCATTTACATTTTTATTTTAGATAAAAACAAATCAGAAATCCGTCTTAAGGAAAATAAAATGATGCAATGTGAAACCATCAAAAAAAAATTATTATTATTATTTTTAATTTGAACTCTTTAAAGGCATTGCAAAAAATAATGCGAAATAAAAAATTTTATTTATCTAAAAAAATAATTACTCTTAAACAAATATATTGTTAAATATTTAATCTTTATTATTAAAAAAACAAATAAATAAATAACGATATGTGATAAACAGCGTAAAAAAATTATCTGGATTTTTTTTTAACGTTAAATAAGGTATTCCTCGAGTTTATTCGTTTGTTTTAAATAAATTGTATTTTTTTTTTACATTTGATTAATAAACAGGATATATAAAACATAAACCTATCACCATTACAGCTATCCTGTGTTCTAAAAATAAACTTTGAGCTTAAAGTTAGAATTATTACTTTACAGAATCCATATGTAGCTATCATAATATTAAAAATATAATAACATTGCTGTAATAGGCAACTATATGGAAACACATTATATTTGTGTTAATAATTCTTTTACAAAATACAAACCTTTTTATTTATCTAAATTGCTATTATCTTTTCAATAATTGAATGAATTTTTAAAGTTGACTTATTTTTAAAAAATATATTTCTTAATTTAATTAATAAAATAAAATAAATTGATTTTTGATTATTATTTTTTTAAAAGGCTATATAATTAAGTCTATATTAATTTTTTATATATTTATATTTTTATATTTTTATTGCTATTGATTAGTCTATCACTAACTTAGAATCTGAATTTGTATTACAATAAGATATAGTGAATATTTTTTTTTATTTTTGAAAATTAATATACTTATTTTTGTCCAATTTAACTTGTTTTTATATTTAAATTTATGGATCAATGATTAATTTAGCTATAGTATAAGTATTATTGGTTTCAATTAAACTATTTAGTAATCAAATTACTACTGATTAAATTTAAATTTATTAATAAAAATTAATACTAAATTAGGATTTTTAGCAGTATTATTTTCATATTAAATTAATATTAAATTTATTATAAGTTTAATATACACGTTATAACACGTATATTAAATTTATTATAGGTCAGTACTATTTTGATATCAGTTTAGAATCTTATATCAAAGTTTTATTAATTGATATTTAAAAAATATATAATAATCTAAAAGGGTCACATATTCTTTAAATCCAAATTTCCACATAAAAGAAGCAACGTGAGCACATTTTTCAAA